TGGAATTTGCGCCAGCGCTACCAGCAGCGCGCATGGCATATTTCCACCGACAATTTCTAGGAGTTCCTCGACCGGCGGAGTCTAACGAGGTAAGTTTAGATATGAGATAATTCAACTGTGATGCTCATTTTGTTAGGATTGGAAGATATCGCCCATCCTCGCACCCAACTTCCAGAACTTGGCCCCTGCGTTGGTGACTACGGCGGAATTGGATCCGCTGCGCGACGAAGGAGAAGCATATGCAGCCAAGCTTCAAGCTGCTGGAGTGCCTGTAGAGGTAGATCGAATTTCAGGTGCTCCACATTTGGTCGCTGTACTGGATGGAATTCTGGAGGGAGGTCGGCGATATAACGAGAAGGTGATTGCGATAATGAAGCGGCACCTCAAGGGATGAGGGTTCAACCTGTAAATAAATAAATACCATAACGGAGTATACAAAACCAAATATTACCAAATATTACTAAATATTACAGGTCTCACTACTGAAAAATTGTCTCCCTTTTGTCCTACCGATACCGGGAAATTTCGGCTGGGGACTCGGAGAGTCGAGCTGACCTCAAATTTGCGACTTTTACTTTTAAGGAGACTAATCCTCAATTTCACTTCCCATAGAAGCTCCAGAAGCTTGGTGTGAGCCTTTGTATACCCTCTTTGGTACAGCAAGCCCAATTGTCATATAATGAATCCCACTTCCTCCCGAGCCGCGGTGCGCTCTATGGCCACCCTGACACATGCGGCCAGAGCCACCCCCGCAGCTCGCAGCCTTTTGTCGCCCTTTGCTACCCGGTCTCTGAGCTCTAATACCCGTCAATCCGCTCAGTTCCCCCGCCTTCAATCCTTGAACACTTTCTCCAACAAGCGAGCATTTGGAACTACCGTCAGAATGGTATGCTGTTTCGAGACAGTGGATGAATACAGAACTGATGTGATCTAGTCTGTTGACGCTCGTACTGAGAGCGATGCCTTTGGTGAAATCCAGGTGAGTGAATATCTTGATGCAATGGTGCCACACATGGCTAATTGTTTTCTCAATAGGTCCCTGGAGACAAGTACTGGGGTGCGCAGACCCAGCGGTAAGATCTCCCCTCAAATCGATACGTTACAATGGAAAAGAGAATAAGGGCTGATGGATTCAGCTCCCTGGGCAACTTCGACATCAATCAGCCCCAGGACCGCATGCCTGCCCCCGTGGTCAAGGCTTTCGGTATCCTGAAGGGTGCTGCTGCTGAAGTGAACATGAAGTACGGCCTTGGTATGTGCAGCTCTTGCGAAAACTAGATACCGTCAGGTTATTGACTTCCAAAAGACCCCAAGATTGGTGAGGCTATCAAGCAGGCCGCCGCTGAGGTTGCTGATGGCAAGCTTCTGGACCACTTCCCTTTGGTCGTCTGGCAGACTGGTTCCGGCACCCAGTCCAACATGAACTCTAACGAGGTCATCTCCAACCGTGCCATTGAGATCCTGGGTGGCACCATGGGCTCCAAGAAGCCCGTCCACCCCAACGACCACGTTAACATGTCCGCCTCCTCCAACGACTCCTTCCCCACCGTTATGCACATCGCTGCCGTTGTCGAGCTCGAGCAGTCCCTTCTGCCTTCCCTCAAGGCCCTCCGTGACGCCCTCCAGGTGAAGGTCGACAAGTTCGAGCACATTATCAAGATTGGCCGTACCCACTTGCAGGACGCCACTCCCCTTACTCTTGGCCAGGAGTTCTCTGGCTACGTTGCCCAGCTCGACCGTAACATCGAGCGTGTGGAGGCCACTCTCCCCCACCTGCGCTTCTTGGCTCAGGGTGGTACCGCTGTCGGTACTGGTCTCAACACCTTCAAGGGTTTCGATGAGGCCGTCGCTGCCGAGATCAGCAAGCTGACCGGCACCGAGTTCAAGACTGCCCCCAACAAGTTCGAGGTTCTGGCTGCCCACGATTCCATCATCGAGGCCTCCGGCTCCCTGAACACCCTGGCCGCTTCCCTGTTCAAGATCGCCCAGGATGTGCGCTACCTTGGATCCGGCCCCCGCTGCGGTCTGGGCGAGCTGAGCCTGCCCGAGAACGAGCCCGGTTCTTCTATCATGCCCGGAAAGGTCAACCCCACCCAATGCGAGTCGCTCACCATGGTTTGTGCTCAGGTTATGGGTAACCACGTCGCTGCTACCATTGGTGGCATGAACGGCCAGTTCGAGCTCAACGTCTTCAAGCCCGTGATGATCTCCAACCTTCTCCACAGCGTGCGCATCCTCTCCGATGGCATGAACAGCTTCCGTACCCACCTGGTTGAGGGTCTGGAGGCTAACGAGGGACGTATCAACTCCCTTCTCAACGAGAGGTATGTGCTTAAATTCCCCCTTACTTTTGATGGCAAATTCTAACTGTATGATAGTCTGATGCTCGTGACTTGCCTGAACCCCATCATTGGTTACGATATGGCCTCCAAGGTGGCTAAGAACGCTCACAAGAAGAACCTTACTCTGAAGGAGAGCGCTATGGAGCTCAAGGCTCTCAGCTCAGAGGAGTTCGACCAATACGTCCGCCCCGAGCTGATGCTGGCTCCCAAGGAGTTGAAGTAAATGAACAGCAATGCTGTCCTGTGACATTATAGACCACTCCGATAGGATATGTACAATGAAAAGAATCTTTATGTTTAATCACCTGTGTTAGGATATTCAGGTTTTCTTATGTAGATCCTACCTTTTTTTTTGATCTTTTCAAAGGTTATACATAGAAAAGTCATTTGCACAAAAACTTTTCGTGCCCTTTTTTTTTGCCGTCGATCTATAAGAAAGAATGGTATCAGAAAAGACCGCTAAAAAGACTACTAAAAAGACATCGCAAGCTTATGTGGCCGACTATTCTTTTGGAGATATAAATAGCATCTTCGATCGCAAACCCTTATCAAGAACGCTAGTGAATCGGAATCTCCGTGTTATTTTAATATGTACATTTCAATAATCTTGGGAATTTTCCAATATAAAAATAAGCAGATCATAGTAAAAATAACAAGAAACAAAAGAATCCACTCGTCCCTTGGTATGGGGGAAGTATTAATAGAAAAAAGCCCCCCCTTAGTGGCGGTGTCTCAGCTGTACCTGAACCCTTCAAAAGTCAAGTACTTCTCTTGGAAAAACTTCTTATTTTTCATCACAACACTTATATCTCTCCTCAATTAGATATCAAAGTTTCAAACAAATTAACTTACTCAAATCCAAGACCGCCGATCTTCTTTGCGACCCCCGGCCCCTGATAAGCCGTCCTCAACCCTCAATCTCTTCAACACTCCCCAACTCCCATAAAAATGACCGCACCCGCCCTTTCAAGCACTACAATGCCAGAGGCTACAAAGCCAATCATGAGCTCGACAGTCACCCCAGTGGATGCCGAAACCGATACCCTCACCGACGGCCCCCTCTTCCCCTCCAACCTCATCTCCCCCGAAGTGATCTCCCTCCTACCAACAGACTACACAATCCGGCCCATGCGCCGCTCAGACTACCACCGCGGCTACCTGGATGTTTTGCGCGTGTTGACAACTGTTGGCGATATCACCGAGGAGGCATGGAACCAGCGGTACGATTGGATCACCTCGCGCAATGATGAGTACTACATGCTCGTCGTCTGTGATGGAGCGGACCAAGTCGTCGGAACGGGTAGCTTGATCGTTGAGCGGAAGTTCATTCACTCGCTCGGTATGGTTGGACACATTGAGGACATTGCCGTTGAGAAGAACCAGCAAGGCAAGAAGCTCGGCTTGAGAATTATCCAGGCTTTGGATTACGTTGCTGCCAAGGTTGGCTGCTATAAGGTATGTGTTTTTATCTTGGCTATGGCTCTAGTTACTGTTCATTACTAACTTGACGTTTACAGAGCATTCTTGATTGCTCTGAAGTCAATGAGGGGTTCTATGTCAAGTGTGGTTTCAAGCGCGCTGGTCTCGAGATGGCCCATTATTACTGAGCGTTATTGATCCATGTGTTTTTTTCCCTCCTGGTTCACACCGGTTTGGTATGGCGTTTAGGTCATTTGGTTCGTTAGTCCCGCAAGGCTTCGGTGAGGCGTCAATGTCCACAGAAACTTGCGCAAAGCATGGGATTGTTGCATTTGAGTGAGCGGAGCTGCATCTGGCCCTAATCTATTGTGATTAGCATGGCTTCTCGATATATGGCGAGGGGCAGCTGGAGCATTTGTAGGATTTTGCATCCACCCTCTCTTTCGGCAACTCAATTGCACACTGTGTGAGTCCTAGGGGAGGTGCTTGATCTACCAATCGTGATCATGATGGTGCTTCTGCTATTGCGGCGATCCCCATCTTAGCTTGTAACACCACTGATGTTGTTTGTATTGTCTCTGCTTTGGGAGTTGAAATCAATGCATTGCGGGGATGGGGACCTAGATGGTCTTAAGTATAGATGTGCAGGAAACATGACAATTATATATCTTTATTATTCAACTTGGTAGATTATCCTCTGGTCTTAAAATAAAACCTCCGGTTTAAAGGTCAGGCCATTTTGACTTTTGTCTCTAGCCAGCATGAAAATGCGCTTGTTGAAAATGCTCGAAGCAGGATGTACAAAGTGAGTGGCTGTTTCGCCTTGTATATTTAACGTCAAAAGGTTATAACAAATCGAAACATGAAATTCATTTCTAGATCAGAGGCTGAATCTGGACTACTTCATTGGCAAGATCCGCCAGAGACACATATCCAACCACTCATAAGAGACCTGGTGAACATGAATCCCAAGGGGAAAAAGCAAGAGACGTTCCATTGCTGGAGGTTGGAGGACATAGTGTTTAATACTCGCATGGGGATTCATTTTTTGATTCCTTTGTTCCCATTTTTCTGCATGAAATTGTATTGCATAAAGTATTTCCAGAAACAAGGTCAAGGCCCAAGGCCAGTCCTCAGACAGTACTCCAGCTCCAGTGCCCGTAAGTTCCATCATATCGCAACCATCACAGCGCTGCTCCTTTCCGAACACCTCCATTCCCAACTATTTCATAAAGAAATTTAGCGGGACTTGGCGGCGACCTTGGGGGCAGAACCCTTAGCACCCTGCTTGCTCTGGATGCGCTGGGCACCGCCCTTGGAGGCGGCGATCTTGGCCTTCTCGGCCTTCTTGGCGCTGGCGGAAGCAGCCTTCTTCTCCTTGGCGTCCTTGATGGCCTGCTTGCGAGCAGCCTCACGGGCCTCGGGGCGCTGGGAGCGGCGCTCCTTGATCACATCGAGGGAAGCACCAACGATAGCACGCTGGGCCTTGACAACACGGCGGGTGCGCTTCTTGGCGACCTCCTATATATCCAAAAGATAACCCGGTCAGTAATCTGCAGTCGCATTTTTCCATCATTTCATCTGAATCATAGTGGTGACGTGATAATTCCTCCTCTTGCTCCGTCTCATGGTTGGCGTGACCAATCAATTCGGCCTTTTGTCCCTCCACACGATCTAACAATAATCCAAGGGGAGGGGCGACCGACCTCAGAGATACCCTTGCGGTGCTGGCGACGGAAGAGAACAGTCCATGCGATGCGGCGGGGGTTCTTGCGCTGGAGGAAAAGGGACTCGGACTTTCCACGCTGGAAGCGGAAGATCTTGCTGTCGCCACGGACGAACAGCTTGCCCTAAAACATTCAACATCAAAGATTAGCTTCGAGTAGCAATAAAAACACGGCGGAATTTATGTGCGGCGGTTCGGCTAAGACGGAGAGCGACAATTGTGACGGTATTGAGATATCGAAGTGTGAATGTCGAATCCGCGATGCCGTTGTTCCCTCGCACACAAATTCCTCCCAAAGGCGACGACTGGAATTGCAAACGCACCTTGCCAGGGTAGATCTTCTGGCCGCTGAAGGAGTCGTCGTAAGTACGCATCTTGACGGATGGAGATGCGCTGACGGGGGTCGGTTGGCGTTGAGTGGTTGTCGTAAATCGTGGATCGCGGTGATGCTACTGACCCAATTGTGGTGCGGGCGCTCGCTAAAGTGCGACACGTGACCGCCTCTGCCCTTTCCGGGTTGACTTATCGATAAGGTCACATGATCTCTCTCTTCTTTTCAATACTTAATTGTTCCTGATTTTGATCACAGTTGTACCATAGCTTGGATTTTACCACTTAATATCTGGTTCCGGCTATACATCACTATGAGTGACAATGATAAAATACATGGAATTACACGAAATTATATTCTTTACTGACAAGTCTTCGGCAATGCGCAAGGAACATGGCATTTTTGCTGACCAACAATTCCTGGCTCTCAATCAAGTCGAATTTCCTTTGAATCTGGACCACAGATGCGGGTAGAAACTGATCGTGCAGAGTGGCCTGTGATCCTTATGGACAAGTATTTACTTAGTATACATACATCGCTTCTCCGATGACCTTTTCTATAAGAGTTGGGAATGAGGAATAGCTAGAGTTGACATGTATACAATTCTCGAGGTGAGGCTTACAACCGTGCAATAAGCGATACAATGATAAGTACACTGTACTGTAAGTGGCTGGACTACATTGGATGTCTGATGGCGGATGGCGGATGCGTTCGGGCAGTTGAGAATGGCTGACCAAAGTTCAACACACCCCGGCCCCAGGGCGTGAAGCCGGCGACTTCGGGAGGCTGCTTCTCCGTAACGACTTCTAGAGAAAGCCAGAATAATTTGAGACATGGGTAATGGGAGGAGCAGATAATAAAATCCTACTCAAGCAACCATGTTGTCCAATAACAAACGCTTGGAATTCAATGCCTGCTATCGCAAATAGAAAGGGTTGTCCTGCACTTCATGGTCACATAACACCAACGGATTTAGGTCATAGCATGTGTCCGAGTCCACTCCTTTGCTGTTTGGATCGCAGCAGGCTCATCATCCTTCCATCTCTGGGCAACGTCATTTGCGAGCGGGTCATCGGGATTTGGGGCTCCAAGTAGTGCCTGGATCGAGAGTAGGATCGTACGGATCTGGAGAGCTGGAGACCAATTATCTGAAAAAAACAAGGTTAGACATCCGTAGCTTGAGAAGAAATCATATTTCGTCTTACTCTTCAAGACATCCAAACAGATACGGCCCAGACGATCAATGTTGGGGTGGTAGATCTTGGTCAGGAATCGGATTTTGGGTGGGGTCATAGGATAGTCATCTGGCAGGAAGAGCTCAAGTCGGAAAATACCACCTGTATAAAGTACGTTAGTACTTCAATTGATATGAGAATCTTGTTACGCGAGCTTACCCTCGTATGGAGATTGCGCAGGTCCGTGGATTGAGACGTCGAAGTAGCGGAGGTTATCGTCATGGGGCACAGCATTAATGCCTGGAACACTGTGACCCAAGCACAACATATTAGCTATCCACATGGACTTTCGAGATAGATGAGTTGCTTACGGCTCTGCCATCAGACGTTCCGTCTCCTTAATGATTCTCTTGGGTAAAGCCATGGCGGACCGGCTTATCGACTCGCGTGTAGACCTGGTTTAGTGATTTCAGACGAGCAGACTGTTCTCAAAGTAGACCAGAAAATTGCACCCTCAACTTTGACTGCGACCAATATAATTAGCCCGAAAAGTCAATAGAGAGAAGTAAAGCGCAAGTCAACAGAAAAAAAACACAGATCCAGGTCTCGACGTAACCGGCCGAGGGGCTCCTGCATGGCGGGGTTATTTCGCGTCCCGTATACGAGATCATGTGATGTCATAGTCCCACAGCCACAGCCCCAGCACACCAGCCACGTCCCTGTCCTTATCGCGTTATCGCAACCTAACTTTCCGGTCTTCGCGACAAGTTGAGAATATAACTACCATTTCCAAGCATGAAACAAGGATAGGGGATGCCATTGTGGAAAATGGGAATAGGTTCACCGCTACCAAATACATATGGTTTTGCGTTATCTGCATGGGTAGACCTTTGACTCCCTGGTTCCTGCAAGATCGCGGCCCGACGAACACCGGAGATTAAACGCAGCGACAATCACAGTCACCATGTCTAGCTCGATGGAGCCGAGGCCTCTCACGTCGGCTATGGAGAGCCCGACGTTTGAAGAGGACAGCTCCTTTCATGTAGAGCAACCGGTTGGTTCTATGTCAATATCCCCCTGTGGACGCGATGTCGTTCTAGCGTCTAAGGAGGGTCTACATGTCATCGACCTAGACTCGCCATATTCTCCACCACGATATCTCCCTCACCACACACCATGGGAGGTAGCTGATGTGCAGTGGTCGCCATTCGCTGCGCGCGATCAGTGGGTTGTCAGTACATCTAATCAGAAAGCGTTGGTCTGGAATTTGGCTATGAAGACATGGCAGAACTCCATTGAAATTGTGCTTCACGCCCATACTCGAGCAATTACCGATATAAATTTCTCGGCATTTCATCCAGATATCCTAGCAACCTGTTCCGTGGACAGCTTTGTGCACTGCTGGGATTTACGTGCTCCGTCGCGGCCAGCGGTCTCATTTTCAGATTGGTTTACTGGTGCAACACAGGTGAAATGGAACCGACAAGATCCTCATGTCATTGCAAGCTCTCATGACCGATTTCTTCGGATTTGGGATGACCGCATGGGCGCATACCCGATCAAGTCGATTGAAGCACATAGCACCAAGATCTACGGAGTTGACTGGAATCGTGTTCGACGGGGTGCTCTAGTTACATGTTCCTTAGATAGAACCATCAAGTTCTGGGACTATACCACTGATTCAGATTCAGATGTCCCAGAGAAGCAGATTCACACACCATTCCCTGTGTGGAGAGCACGCAATACGCCGTTTGGATGGGGTATGCTTGCAATGCCACAAAGAGGCAATAATGATCTTCATCTTTACAGCAGGCGAGCTGGAGAGGACTCAAATCCAGAGGACGACTTGCCTTTGGTACATACTTTTCCCGGGCATAAGGGACAAGTCAAAGAGTTTTTGTGGAGACCACGCGGAGGAGTAGCGGATGGAATTGACCATCGCGAATACCAACTTGTCACATGGGGAGCAGACAGGGAACTTCGTCTCCATAAAGTTAACCCTGAGATTCTGGCACGTGTCGGGTATGAAAAGGGCAAGTCCTTCATTTCTACACGGACCGTGACACGTCTCGGTGCTGTATATCGGAGTTTCCGCGATGTTAATTCGGATTTGGATATCGATGATGCCGACGTGACTTCCTCTGCTGGGCAACAGAACCAGAATAATGCGGCGGGTACTGGGATGAACGCTATTACTGTTCCTCACGCTCGGGGTTGGATAAAGGGAGGCCACCATGTTGACCGATTTGGGATGCAACCGAGGTCAAATTTAAGAGCCGACACAAATCCGATTGCTTGGATGCGCGGTGTGAAGATCTCAGGCTGGGACATTGAGACATTAGGAGATGAAATCAGCCAGGTCGGTGAAAAGTTCACCAAGGTGGCGTTTGATTCAGTTGATGTTCGACAAAGAAAGATCTCCATCTCTCTCAACGGGCCCTGGGGTGCTGACGGGGCCTCTTTGTTCTTGAAAGTAGATATCAAGTTCCCAACAAGCTATCCCAAGACTGCTATCCCAACATTTGCATTTCAAAAGACGGCGGCCGTCACCGATGAATGGGCTGCGAAGACCACCGCTGAACTGCGCACAATTGCTGAAACCTATATGTCCCGGAATCGAGGTTGCCTGGAAGGTGCCGTGCGTTATCTTCTAGGCGAAAGTAGCCTGGAGGACAGCATCGCGTGGATATTGGGTGAAACTGGCGATAACCTCAAGTCTCCTATCAACGGTGAACTGGAAGGCGAATCTAGCGACGAGGATGAAGTTGGCATGACCCAGAGCCAAGAGCTGGGGATGAGTTCTGAGCTACTCCGTCCTATCAATGCCAACGTCATGGTACCTGTGGCCAAAGTATGCGGAGCGCTTTGGGCAAATGACGGCCGCCTCATATGCTTCTTTCCGCCGAAACCGAAGAAGGATAAGTCTGCCGAGTTGTTCGAGAATATGGGCTTCAAAGAGATGACTCGTTGGTCTAGAGGCGATAAGGTTTTTGAAGGCTTCGGCCGGTTACATACCCACTCACCCGGCCCACGTGGAACGGGAACGATAACGAGCACCGATGATGGTGACTCGGACGATTCAGACGAATCATACTCTGACACATCGAGCTCTTCCGGCTCCTCTGACGTGCTTTCAGGGCTACCGACACGTTTCCCAGCACCTCGAACATGGCGCAGTATCGGCAGCTATGGCCTCCACCGGCCGCGATCAACAGATAATTCTCAGCGATCGACTGCAGGTGGGGCCACAGTCAAATCAGAGGCACCCCAGAATATCGTATCTATTCATGATCTGAGTGATATGCTACCCGTCAAGCGGGAATTGGCGAGTCAATATCGCATCTGTGGCAAAGGAACAGACGTATGTGCCCATAACGCGGCTGTTGCCCTTGACGCTGGGTGTTACGAATTGGCCCAAATCTGGGGTCTGATCAAGTTGATCTTGCATGTCCGAAAGAGCCCTGGCACTCTGCCTGAGTCGGGTCTGTTGCAAAGGCGTACCCACAAAAAAGGGGGCGGAGTTGGTGGTCTTGGAAGAGATGGGGTGTATAGAGACTTGACAGGGAGTATTATACGTTGGGGTGACCACCCCCTTGGCAGTCATTGGCTTGTCCCTGCTCTCTTCGAACACTTTGAGCGCATTGGCGATATCCAAATGGTGGCAATGCTCTCATGCGTACTACTGGAAGCCAACCAAGAGGGATATCTAGAGAACCAGCAAGCCAAAAAGACGCCCGGGAAGCTGGATTTCTCACTGGATTTTTCCCCCGCCCCATCGGCAGTTACAAGCAAACCACCAGCTACGGCGCCAGGTTCCTCTGTTCTCAAAGAGGTCCAGGCTGCGCCCGAGACCTCAGCACGCTCTTCT